CACGTCGAGGTGTATTTAATAAAATGGGGAAACTTTCGTCGACAAGTTGTTGCGAGGGAAATTATTGACGTGCGGCACGCTGCGAGTGGGCCAATCAACACACGTGGCGGGGGTGTGACACCGTCGCGCCCCGAGTTGCTGCTCAGCCTGAAGAGGAGGAGAGCACGACTCGTTTTTTGGGGCCGGAATGTGCGTCACTGCCGGGTGGCGACATCGTATGGAGGCGTACATGCCGTGCGTGGTGGGTGAAGCGGCTTCTTGTTTTTCACTCAGGCTTGAGGTGCTTCACTTCCATGAGCACCGCGGTGCCGCTGGGAGGCGGCGATTGCGTTTCGGTTGTTGGTGGCGGTGTCGCTGCGAGAGTTTGTTCTTGTGGCCGCAGAGGGAAGGCATCTGCTGCGTGTGTCTCGCAGTGGTGGTGCTGCTGCACCGTTTATTTTGTTTTGTTTTTATTGTTTTTTTCAATTTTTTTTTTTTACGCTACGCCCCACTCCTGCTGCGGTGCGCTGAGGGAAGTGGCGGCGTTGGGGAGTTTGTGGGGGCCGTGGTAGGAGGTCCCGCCGGCATTGCGCACTGCGTGTTGCCGCTGGCGGGGTTTGAAGGGGCTGGGCGGGGGAGACGGTAAACGAGGTGCTTATGAATTTGTTTTGTTGTTTAATTTCTGTGGGAGGCGTCACACACTGCGGACTCTCCGTGCGGGTGCGTGTGGGTGTTTCTTGTGGGCGGCGGCGAGTGTGTGATCGTGCGGCCCGTGCGTTTGTCGGTGCTGCCTCAGTTTTGGATTGTCGCTGTTGTTTGCGGGGTGCCCAACTGTTGGTGCGGGGGGTTCATTTTTTTTTGGGGTGGTTGTTTTTTTCTTTCTCACACACGGAACGAACAATAACGAAGACTACTTGTTATTGTACGCATTGAAAGGCTCCGCAGCTACCACCAGCAACACACACACACACCGACCACACACGCATATATATACTCTCGAGTGTTGCTGCCGTCAAGTTCAAGCGCCCACACAACCATCGCGGTCTGAGCGGATCCGGCAGAAGGAGGGAAGGGATAGAGATTGATTGAGCAGCGACACATGCTTAAGATGTACCGGCACCTGTTTTCTTATTTGATGCTGCTGCTGCTTTTTGTGCTGTTGATATGCTTTGACAGTACTGCTGTGCACGCCGAGAGGAATAAACCCAAGGAAATACAAATGCCAGAGCCTGTCGATCTTTTTGTGCCGCGTCAAACGATTGTGGAAACACAAGGTGAAAATCAACTGGGGAATTCCTTTAACTCACCTTCTCTCGTCAGTGCTGGTGGAGTGTTGGTTGCGCTTGCCAAGAGCCACACCAGCCTTCCATACTCCGGTGAAGAACAGTTTTTGGCCTATTATGCTGATGTTGTGGCGGGGTACATCGACCCTGCGGAGAGCTGGTCGTCTTTTGCTGCTAAAGTTAATGCAGATAAATGGAAGGCGCACAGCATCTTTAACACGACCATTCCAAAGGGACGTGCCTCTCCTGTGAGACGCGCGCGCCGACCCACAACAATTGCAAAGGGCAACAAGGTCTTTCTACTTGTGGAAGACTATTATCTGAAGTATAATAATTCATCGCAGAACTGGGTTGCATCCCCACAGGATCTTGATTTTCTCGTGGGTGAGGCCACGCAAGATAAAGTCATCCAATGGGGCGAACCCACCTCGCTTTTGCCACAGATCGAACCATCTGCTGATCAGAGTGGTCTGGATGAGTTTGTTAGTGGTGGTGGCTCAGGCGTTGTGATGGAGGATGGCACGTTTGTGTTTCCTGTGACGGCGAGAAAGACAGGGGAAAAAGACGTTGTCTCCACGATCATTTATTCGAAGGACGACGGCAAAAATTGGGTGCTTCCACAGGGGATGCTCCCCGCGGGGTGCACTGACCCCCTCATCGTCGAGTGGGAGCAGGGGCAGCTTCTCATGGTTGTCAAACGCAATTCTCTCTTAAAGGTGTTCGAGTCGAGGGATATGGGGGCAACGTGGAGGGAGGCTGTCAGGACACTCACACGCGTGCAGCCCATGTTGTTACCAGACTCTTCGCGAACAGCTGAGAGAGTGGGGTCCCTCACCACTGCGACCATTGCTGGAAAGAAGGTCATGCTGTACACTCAGAAAGGGATTCCCCCTGGGGGCACGTTGCAAGCCACCGCGCTCTACCTTTGGGTCACTGATAACAATCGCACGTTTCACCTCGGGCCCATTTCCATGGACACTAAAAGGAAGTGGACGTCTGGCAACACCCTGCTGCACTCTAACAATGCGTTGCACCTTTTACAAGAGAGGGTCAGTATGACGACCAAAGTCCTGTCTCTTTCTTCCCTAACGGGTACGCTGAAGAAGATTAAGTCTGTCTTGAAGACTTGGGCAAAACTGGACTCCTTCCTCTCGAACTCGTCTGTGCCCACGGCCGGCCTGGTTGGATTCTTGTCGGATGCATCGGGTGATGGAACTTGGAACGACGCGTACCGTTGCGTGGGTGCAACTG